GGGAAAGGCTAATCCCGTGCCCTTCTTCGGGGAAATGTTCGCTGCTCTAAAGGACTTGCCTAGACCGATGTGGATCTTGCTTTTAGTGACGTGTCTTAAAATGGATTGCTTGGTTCATCTGCTGGTTCGATACTGATTGCTGGTAGGGAAGGTGTAATACGGAGGGGAGAGTAGGGGAAGGGCAGGCGTACGATCACGGTGTGCGCGCTGGTGCATTAGGGCTGATGCTGAACTCGGTGGTGTTGGGATTCGTGTCCCTCTCGGCGGAGTACTTGGCGCGTGGAATCGGCGGCGTGAAGCGGTTATGGGGCGTGGTCAACTTCTTGCTGGCGGTTTGTTTAGCGATGACGGTGCTAATCACCAAAAAGGCCGAGGCCGGCCGCCACTTCGCTGCAGTACACGGCGGGGCCACCGCCTCGCTTCCCGATACCGGCGTCAAGGTCGGTGCGCTGACGCTGTTCGCAGTGCTCGGAATCCCTCTAGCGGTGAGTGAATCTACTTTTTATCGTGAAAATTAAATTTTGGCGCGTGGTGTATTGGATTTTTTAGGAATTCTTTTTGCATCATCATATCCACAGTCTGACATAGTCGTTAGCTTTGGATTAGCTTAGCTCAAAAACTTTTGACACATCATCCTGTTACTGTTTTAATTTAAAATTAAAAAATTATTAAAAAAATTAAAAAATTAATAATTTATATTAAGAATAATGTTTGAGGGCCCGAATCAATGGCTCGAATTTTTTTTAAAAAATTTAAAAAATCATTTTAATTATACTAATTTTTTTTACTTTAAATTTTAACTAAAAAAATTAAAAAAATTATTAAAATAACATACTTTCAAACGAACCCTAAATACCGTGTAAGAGGAGGGTTTTATGTAAGTCTCACGCGTGGCATATTTGATAAAAAATTTAATATTATAATTTTTAGCATCGGTAGCATTTTTTGTTTGTTTTGAGATCTTTTTAGAGTTGATGTACACGTAGCATTTTATGAGATTTTTATGCACACGTGTAACTTGTACAAAATTTAAAATTATTAAAATATTTAAATAATAACTTTAACCGTTTCTTTAAACAGAATGCTTAAAACTTATAAAAAAAAAAAATCACAATAATGTGATATTATATATGTCAATTTTTGATATATTATACATTTAATAATATAGAATTTCACTCTTGTGCCACATCATTTGTGGTTTAAAGTGTGGTGTAGTTTATATGTGGAATCCATTTCATGATGTATAATAATAAAAAATTAAAAAAACAAGAATAAAAATAAAAAAATCAGTCAATAAATCGCTTATCCGTAAGATTTTTCTTAATAAAATGACTTGCCTTTGAAAAGGTAACCTATGCACCGAGTCTATATTCATTTGAAAATTAAATATTTGTAAATAAATTTCAAAAAATAAAAAGAACATATATATATATATATATTTATCTGTAATGATTTTTTAAATTTATTTATTCACAAATAATTAGCAAATATTTTATGTTTTTATTTTTTTTTATTTTTAACAAGCAAATATTTTATGTTGTTTGAACTTTTTGCAGGTAACTTATAGCATTCCCTTTGCTCTAGCATCCATTTTCTCCAACACTTCAGGTGCAGGACAAGGTATAAAGCTTGTACCAAATTTGAACTACTGTTGTAGGGATTCATTTCATATATATATATATATATATATATCCTCCTCCTAATGTCTTTGTGATGTTTGAATTCCATATAGGTCTCTCTTTGGGGGTTCTCAATCTTGCAATTGTTATTCCACAGGTATGATTTATAATTATATTTACTATCCATGCATGAGTTTGACTTAATGCTATGTTTGGACTAGCATTTACTCATTTTTTTAGTATTTTTTTACCCCAACCAAATAAAAAGTAACGAATTTTCTATTGTCTTGCAAGCAAAAAAGCTTATACAGAAAATACATTTAAATTAATATGTTAATGATATTTTTAAAATTATAAAGACAATGATGGATGTTTGATTGGAGATGGACTCCAACAAGCCCTATCTTTTGATATAAAAATTATGTGAAAAATATTTATTGGGATTGGCTTCCCACCAGTTTAGTTCGGGCTGTGAGCTCATAATGGGTCTCATTTTTATAATCCGATTAGTTGATCTTTTAAGTCTCAGTGTATAGTTTATATATCAAAAAATTAGATTGATTCGATAATTATAACCACATAATTTTATTACATTTTAAAAAAAGGATGATAAGTATTATTTTAAAAATAAATTGTTTATGTTTCCGAAAACAAATATGATTAAATCAATTAATTATAATTATCGGATCAATTTAATATATATTTTTTTTTTTATAGATGTACACACAGGAGGCTACGAAATTAATGATTTTTTTTTTTTTTTTGTCTCAAGAAATTAATGATGTTGACCATTACTCTTTTTTCTAAACTTTTAGTTTTCTTTTCACTTCTTTTCTATCTACTTCAAAAAAACAAAAAACAAAAAACAAAAAAAAAACCCCAAATAATTGAGAAAAAGCTCGCACAAATGTCAAGCAATTTGGAGGACCCTCCATGCTAGGTGAGACCAATCATCTTCGAAAGTTATTCAATAGTGTGATCATATCCCAAAAAAATGTTAATTATTTATGTAGAATTTGTGCAAAAAAATAATGGAGAATTTTTTTAAAACTTTTTTTTTAATCAATCATTAAGATGATAAAATAATTACAAATGTAAAAAATATTATACTAAAAGGTGTTTTGAAAAAATAGTTAAAAATTGACTTTTTAACTTTTTTTTGTGAGAAATAAAGTAGACTAAAAATTGAGAAGTGACATTTAGGCCAAGTTTGACATGATTAAAAAAAGACAAAAAGTCAAAAAGTCACTATCCTATTTAAGTCACATCATCTTATTTAAGTCACATCACTTCTCTAATACATCACTTCAAACTCAACCTAAACCCTACCCATATTTCATAAAAAGTCAAAAAGTGCACTTATTTAGTCTTCCCAAGTAGGCCTTAACTTACTTTCCAAAATACCCCTAAATACTAGCCCAACAAGGCGCTAGAAAAGTCAATAATCACTTATCACTAAACTTGATACAACCAATCATGAAGTCTATCAAGCCCAACAATTACTTAGTTATGTGCAACTTTCATACTAGGAAAAAATATGCACTATCATAAAGGATATCAAATTTCTTTTCATAAGAATTGAACATGATATTTCATATCAAAAAATGTGTTACACAACTACTACGCTAAACGCTTTTGTTGTAAAATAGAAAAATTATACATCAATAATGCTCTCAAAAAATATTTACAAATTAATAGAAAAATTTATAATATAATGTTTTAATGTTTATAAAATTTATTATTAGTATATAATTATTTTTTAAAGATTGCATTCAAGTGATATTTCTCCCAATAATTTTTCCTGCCATGATATGACTCCATAAATCATGAGGATTTTTATCCTTAACGAAGTGACTGGTGTGATTGTTGGTAAATAAATTAAGAAAATAATTAATAAAATAGATCTTTTATATAAACAAAAATAAAAATAAATTCACCATGTGATTTAAAATCAAAAGGAGACAAGATATCACGTAAAAGTGGGAAATGCATTATTGGTACTATTTTATAGCATATGATTAAGCTTCAATATTGCTAGTACAGTGATGTGAACCTTACATTAGCATGTGACACATGGTACAAAAGGGTTTGTGTTTTTGTTTTTTTTGTTTTTTTTTAAAAAAAAAGGCAAACAAGATTCTTCACGAAAGGCTTGTTTTTATTTTATTTTTTTCAAAATATTTGTCTATATTAAAATATTTGCTTATTTGAAAATATTTACTTCTTTTTGTAGAAATACAAAACTTTTAGCCAAAGTGAGAACTAATTTGTGTACTAATAAATGTTGAAACAGATGGTAGTGTCTGTTGCAAGTGGACCATGGGATGCCTTGTTTGGTGGTGGAAACTTACCAGCATTTGTTGTGGGAGCCGTTGCAGCTGCGGCAAGTGGGGTGTTTGCGCTTACTATGCTGCCATCTCCGCCGCCCGACACTGCCAAAGCTTCAATGACAACCGTCACTTTTCATTGAAACTCATCCAAAAAAATATACCAAAAAAATTATTGTGCAACTCAGATTCACTTTATATGTGAATCTCAAAATACATGAATTAAATCCAGACTACACAATAAATTTTTGAGTATTTTTTTGTGCATAAGTCTTTTCTAATGTTAGGGTGTTGGAGCCTAACCCTTTTCTTTTTTTTTTTTTTTGGGAGTGTAATTTTAGAATGCAAGAATTACTGTATATATACGCTAAGCGTGGTTACAGACCGGTGGTTAATCTCACGATTGGGCTTTGTGTGATAGTATGTTTTAATCATTAAAAACACTTATATATATATATATATAGTTTGTTTGGGACCTAAATAAATCATAGTTGTTTGATGGAATTGGGGTTTTACTGTTCATGTTCTTGTAATCAGAACTGAAATCATTTTTGTATTTGATTTGTTGCATATAAATAATATTCTAATTGTCAAAATATTATTATAATATTTTCAATAACGAAATTAAACATTTAATCATGAATTATTATTCTTTTGAGATTAAAATTTATGTTTCAAAAAGTAAAACTTTTTATACAAAATTGTTTTTAAATATTTATTGCTAATTTTTTTTTTTGTGACCACCGTTTAGACATTGATTTCTAAATATTTTTTATAACAAAATTTTCATTATGAAAGACAAAAAAATTTGATCATTAAATTCTTAATTTGTTGCCGCTACTCTACCTCCGCCATCTAATACAAATAAAATCAATAATTTAAAAAAAAAATATATAAACAAGTTTACTTTTTAAATTCATTTTCTAAATCTAAATCTAATGATATATGAAGAAGATGATTAGTTAATAATCAAAAAATATTTAATTATCAACCAATTATCTTTGACATATCACTAAGTTTAAAAGATAAATTTAATTTTTGAACTTAAATAAAAATGCTCTAACTTAAATGAATGGATAGGATACAATTGTCAATCCATACAATTCAATCCAATCCATTTAAATTAATTTATTAAATGAATAGATTAACTCACCTATTTTGTCATATGTTCCATCAGTAAATAGACCGAAAATAATCCATTCTTATCTTCCGTATTAACAGCCGCCATGCCTTATTTATCTCGCCCTACAACCCATTTTTAAACCCAACAACCACCATAGCGGCTATCCACCAATCTCTCTCATCATTCTTTCTCTCTCCGCCATCCAAACTTTCACAAACATTATCTCTCTCATGGATGATTTTTTTGAGTGTTTCATTCGATGTCTAAAATGTTCCATCTCTCAAAGCCTGCAACATTAGCATAGTTTTTCTCTTTTTCTCTCTCCTCCTATGCCCAACCACTGTTGGGTATTTTCTCGCAATACTTTGTGAGGTATCAACAACAACGTTGTTGATCCACACACATACTCTCGGCATTAACCATAGTTGTGATGGTCTGACATCGTCATCATACTTTTTGCACTTGCTTTTGTCCTTTAGTTTTGGCCATTTAAAAAAAAAAATAAAAAATAAAATCATGGTATATCAACCTCAAATTCAGTATCCATATGAGCAATTCTTTGAAGAAAAGGAACAACCAAGCCCACTAAAAAAGGCAATTCTCGTAGCTTCTATTGCCGCGGGAGTACAATACGGTTGGGCATTGCAGCTCTCGCTTTTAACGCCCTACGTACAGCTACTCGGCGTCCCTCACAAATGGGCTGCTTTTATTTGGCTCTGCGGACCCGTCTCTGGCTTGCTTGTCCAACCCACCGTCGGCTATTATAGTGACCGCTGCACCTCCCGCTTTGGCCGCCGCCGCCCCTTCATTGTCACTGGGGCAATGCTGATCGTCGCCGCTGTTGTCCTCATTGGTTTCGCAGCAGATATTGGCAAGGTAGAATGATATGATGTTCATATTGACAGAAAAATAAACTAACATGCACGTAATTTAAGAATCCGTAAAGCTTTAGCATGCTATAGACACAATTTAAATTTAAATTTATAATGGTAAATTAAAATTGGAAGGAAAAGGTTAAGGGTGTGTTTGGTTTGGTTTTGGGAGACAAATTTTCAAAAAAAATTTTGGGGAGAGAGGGGAGAGAGTTAATAAATTTTTTGGTTTGTTTGGTTGTATATTTTGGAAATAATTTTGGAATATGAGAGTTTAGAATGATTTGATATTTTGTTGTAGTTGAGTAGATATGTGTGAAAGAAAAAATAATTGAGGACGGGAGAGTAGAGAGAAAAAATAATTGATTAATGTATATAAGGGAGAGTGATTAAATGAAAATTTGAATGGGTTAATTAAAACGCAAATCAAATGATTAAATAATTGTTTTGTTTTTATTAAAATATTTTAACAGGTTCTGGGCGATAGTCTTGAAAAAGGAAAGAAGCCTGCATCAGTCACCATCTTTGTGCTAGGATTTTGGTTGCTCGACATCGGAAACAACACGTTGCAAGGTCCTTGTCGAGCTTTCCTAGCCGATATCTCCGGTAACGACGAGGCCATGCTGAGGATCTCGAACGCCATATTCGCCTTCTTCATGGCCATCGGAAACCTAATAGGCTACGGCCTCGGTTCTTACAGCAATCTCTACAAAATTTTTCCGTTCACAAAAACAGAAGCTTGTGATGAGCATTGCGCGAATCTCAAAGCTTGTTTTCTTTTCTCTGTTTTCATGCTGACAACAATAACTGCGTTCGCTGTGACCTTAGTGGGGGAGAAACCACTCATGGCCCCCACTGGAAGAGAGAACGTTGCGATTGTGATTATAGGGGATGGGGATGATGAAAGGGTAGTAGCAACAGGGTTTTTCGAGCAGATCGTGTTGGCATTGAAGAGCTTATCGAAGCCGATGTGGATACTACTATTCCTGACAAGCTTGAATTGGGTCGGTTGGTTTCCGTTCTTGTTGTACGACACGGATTGGATGGGGAAAGAGGTGTACGGTGGGAGTGTGGAAGGGACTGCTGAAGAAATAGAGTTGTACTATGAGGGGGTTTCGACCGGGGCGTTAGGACTAGTGTGGTATGTGTTGACACTTGGAATTACATCGTTGGCTATTGAGCCTTTGGTGCAAGTTCTCGGCGGCGTGAAGCAGGTGTGGAGTCTCGGAAACTTTTTGCTGGCGGTTGGCATGGCGATGACGGTGGTGATCACTAGCATGGCTGACCAAGCAAGAAATGTCGCCGCCGTCGCTGGCAATGGAGGTAGCTTTGTGCTGCCACCATCCGAAGTCAGGCGGGCTTCTTTATGTCTCTTCGCCTTGTTGGGTATCCCACAAGCGGTTAGTACTTCAAATCAACTTCTTCACAACATACAATGATAAATCATTTCCTTTCCTTTCCTTTTTATTCCTCCCCCCACTTTTTAAATAAAAATGAGCTTAAATTTTTATTTTTATCATTAAATTTTTTTTTTATTGATGTTAATTAAACATTGTAACAAGATATGGAGGAGTATTAATCCATTCTCTAAGTTGGATTTATTTATTTTTTTATTATTATAGGTTTTATATCACTACATTCAAGACAATATACTACTGTTTTTTCACTAATTTTTTAATCATAAATTCTAAAGAAGTATACAGTTAGTTGATGATATAAAATGTTGAGAAATAATTGGTGATGATACAATTAAATATTTTACATTTGTGCAGGTGACCTATAGCCTTCCATTTGCTCTAACTTCCATAATTTCCAATTCAGTTGGCGCAGGTCAAGGTAACGATTAGGGGATATTACAATTCAATGCAAATTTAGAAGGGAAAAAAAATTACATATGAGTAGTAAATTTTATAAATATTAATAATTAAAATCTTAAATTTTTTCATTTATTTATAAATATGTTTTCGAAATACCACTGAATTATAAATCTCCCTAAAGATTATGTGAATTATGAAACAATGTTTGACTACTATATTCGGTTCTCCTTCTAAGACACTTCGGATGTTTGAACCTTGCAGGCCTTGCTTTGGGCGTTCTAAATCTTTCAATTGTGATACCACAGGTAAAGATTCAACACTTAACATGACGTGCATGAAGTAAGTCTTCTTTTTTACAAAGATTACCTAACTATGGCACTATTTTGTAGAGTTAGAGTGTACATAAATGTATACTATTAGAAGTAAAAATAGTAAGACTCGTGTGAATAAATATACGTGAGATTTATTATCTTTATATTAAGTGGTAAAAAAAATAATAATAAATCAATGTATGTTTAACATTTTATTATTTTATAATTTTTTGATTAGCAAAAAAGAATTTTATTGATGAAAAGACATGCATTTCATATGAAAATACATCAATAAAGAAAAGAAAGTGTAGAAAGCATCAAAGTACAACCCTCAATCTCAGTTAGGTTGACACCAAGAGGAATACCTAATCATTTGTTAGCACAACTACAGAGTTGATGAGAAATTAACAAGAAAGAGCGAGAAACACACCCAAGAGCACAACAAACATCTGTGTGCACACCACCAACAAACAACACCAAACAACTGCAGCGGGCTCCACTGAAGCAAGGTAGAATACTGCCAGACAACTCAGGATCCACCCCTTATGTAGAATCTAACTTGCTGAAGGTTATGAACTAAGTTATTAACAGAGTACTTGATAGATGGGCAAGAAGTTTTAACCCACAATGCAATCCTAACCTTAATGGATTCACACAAACCATCAAGATTCACTTGGACATTGTTGAAAATGCGGTCATTTCTCTGTTTCCAAATTGACCATAGCACAGCCAGGGGAATTGCTCGCCAGATCATCTTCTCCTGTTTTTTGAGCTTAAGACCAGTGCACCAGTTAAATATGCTACTAATAAACCTAGGCATTACCCACTATATACCCCACCAGTGTAAAATTCTAGACCAAATCTTCCAAGTAAAGGGGCAAAACAATAACACATGATTGACACTCTCCACATCATCTTTATAGAAAATACATCTAATATCAATAACACCACTGAGGACTCCAATTCCTTGGAGATAACTAGAAGCCTTAATCCGATCTTTCCAAGCTAACCATCCAAAGAACTGAACTTTAGGTGGAGAAACATTCTTCTAAATAAAATATGCTACTTTACTATTGTTTCCAAGACTCAACTGACATCTTTTATATATAGAGGCAATAGAGAAGAGCCCTGATGTATCCACAGTCCATCTCAACCTATCAGTTGACCCTTCCCTAAGAGCAGGTGCATTAGCTACCATCTCCTATAACCTCCTCAACTCCTCACCTAGGGCTGCAAATGAACCAAGCTATTCATGAACAAGCTCGGATCGGCTCGTTAAGGGGTCAGCTCGGCTCGGCTCATTTACTAAATGAGCCGAGCTCGAGCTCGAATATTAGGTTCATTTAGTAAACGAGCCGAACTCGAACTCGCATAAGCTCGGCTCGTTAAACTTGACTCGTTTATCTTTATTTAAATTATATAATAAATATATTATTTATTTGTTAAATAATATATAAATATATATAAATACATTATTTATATATTAAAAATATATAAATATATATAAAAATAATAATACAAATACATTTTTTATATATTAAATAATATAAATAATATTAAAAAAATTTATCGAGCTCAGCCGAGCCGAACTCGAGTTTCATTAAAATTAACGAGCCGAGCTGAGCTTGAGCCCAGTTCCTTCTCAAGCCGAGCTTGAGCTCAATAAACGAGCTCGATAAATAAACGACCCGAGCTCGAGCTCAGCAAAGCTCGGTACAGCTTGGTTCGTTTGCAGCCCTATCCTCACCCTCCCATTGGAATAGGACTCTTCTGACGCAAAGATTTCCCTCCTCAAACTCATTCTTCCGACTAAGCACCAAATTCACAGATTTAACTTTGTCCACTGATAAGGAGTACAATATAGGAAACTGCTCTTTCAAACAGACGTTGCCAATCCAATTGTCCTCTCAAAATTGAGCTCTCCTCCCATTCCCAATAACTAGACCTATCTTGCTCTTAAAAAATTCAATCAGTTCAGGTCTAGACCAGGCAACACCCATAATATCTTTCTAGATCTGAGAAGACTTCGAATTTACCATAGATAATGGCCACCAATGCCTACCAGCCTCATTGTATTTACTACAGACCACCTACTTCCACAGTGTACCATTTTCAGATCCAAACCTCCACCACCACTTCAAAAGCAGACAATCATTCATAAGTCTGAGTCTTTTAATTCCTAAGCCTCCTTGACTTTTACTATGTGAAATATCCTCCCAAGTAACCAAATGAATTTTCCCTCTAAGCTCATCACCTTCCCACAGGAATCTAGATTGAATTTTGTCTATTTCCTTAGCAACTCCTGCTGGCATCTTAAACAAGAATAAGTAATAGATTGGTAAACTAGACAGCACAAATTTTATTAGTGTTAATCGACCAACAAAGGATAAGAACCTCCTCTTCCAATAAGCCAATTTTTGTTTGCATTTATCAATAACTGGTTGCCATGTCCTCATTCTTCTTAGACTAGCACCTAATGGCAGTCCCAAGTATCTCAGTGGTAGACTTTGGTGGAGGCAATTCAGTTTGGTAGAAAACTATTTAGTAAGATCATTATCAATCCCAACCCCACATACCACACTCTTATGATAATTAATCTTTAGCCCAGATAATATTTCAAAACACCTCAGAATCTTTTTTATCGTAACAGTCTCCTCCCATTCTACCTCACAAAATAAAATTGTGTCATCTACAAATTAAAGATGAGTGATTTTAATATCATTTGATCCTACCACTACCTCTTTAATCAAACCCCTCTGCAGAGCTCTCTCCAACAGAATATAGAGACTCACAACAACAATATTAAATAGAAATGGTGATAATGGGTCCCGTTGTCTCAATCCTTTCTCAAGAGTAAACTCAGATGTGGGTGATCCATTTACCAAGATAGAAATTCTTGCTGTGGATATACACTCCCGAATCCAACTAATCCATTTATCACCAAACCCAAAATTAGAGAGCATAGAGAAGAGGAAATCCCAGTTAATGGAATCATAGGCTTTCTGAAAATCAAGTTTTAGTACAATTCCTTTCTTCTGGTTCTTCTTCCATCCATCTACTACTTCATTCGCAATCAATACTTCATCCAAAATATTTCTTCCCCCAATGAATGCTAATTGAGCTTCACTAATAATACTTGGCCTTACTTTCTTCATCCTGTTTGATAGAACTTTTGTAAGAATTTTATACAAAGAACCTATTAGACTAATAGGCCTGAATTCACTAAGGCAAGTAGGATTGTCAGTTTTTAGAATCAAAGTCACAAAGAAACTATTAATTCCATGAACCAGCTTAGAATTTTGATGGAATCCCTTCATAAATTTTATCACATCACCCTTAACTGTCAGCCAACATTTCTGAAACATCATCATATTGAACCCATCAGGCCGAGGTGCCTTATTCCTTTCACAGTTCTTTACTGTTGCTACTATTTCTGCTTCAATAAATTTAGCTTCTAGTGTAACTCTAACCTCAGTAGCCCCAATGGACTTAAAAGAGCCAGATAAGCTTGGTCTACTGGACCAAAATTCAGTAAATTGATTTTTGAAATGCTGTAGGACTGCAGCCCTAACATCTTCGGGTTCTTCCTTTATAACCCCCTGCACATTTATTGAACTCAATGCATTCTTGTTGTTCCTAGAAGATGCCATAATGTGAAAAAATTTTGTATTCCTGTCTCATTTTAATGCCTAATTAGTTCTGGATTTCTACATCCATATCCATTCCATCTTTCTTTTCAATTTCCAAGCTTTCACTTGTGCCTCCCTTCTTCTAGTTAACTTTGACTTACTTAGAGCTCTTTCTTCAGTTGCCAAATCAAGCCAATGTAGTTCTTCCTCAAGAAGCTTAAGATTAAATTCCACATTTAAAAAGACCCCATTATTCCACTTTTTCAAGGCCAGTTTAAGTGCTTGGAGTTTCTTTAGACATTGGAAACCAGCCCAACCCATCACAGTAGTTTCAGTCTAGGTTTTCTCCACAATAGCTAAGAAGGTTGGATGCAAGGACCAAGCATTAAGAAATAAAAATGGCTTTGGACCCCAGTCCCTCTCATCTTCTATGAACAAGAGAGGGCAATGGTTTGAGATTATTCTTGGTAACCCCCATAATTTAAAATTAAACTTATGCATCCACTCCGAACTGAGCAAGAACCTATCAATCATACACCACTTCTCACCTTCCTGTGAGTTAAACCAGGTGAATTTTCTTCCCATCATGGCCATATCACACACTTCCTGGTTGTCAATTAGCTCATTAAACTCTCTCATACCCCTATCTCTCCTAGAACACCCCTTTCTTTCAAATATACACCTGATTTCATTAAAATCACCCCCTAGACACCAAGATTTTTCATAGAACTGATTTAATCTAGTCAAGCTATTCGACACCCTTCTCCTTCTAACACTATCATTAGGACCATATACATTAAATAAAACACATTCAAAGCTATTAAGAAAAGTACTTGACAAAATAATAAAATTCCTATTGGAACAGCAATCTAGCATCTAAAATACATCTGGGTTCTAAATGCATTAGTAATAGTATTTAAATACACATGGTTGCTGTCACGTCCAAATATTTGGACAATTAAATATTAAATTAGGACTAAACCCTAATCAATATTCCATCATCTAAATCCTAGGGGTGAAACAAAATCTAAACGTTCTTGTCTCTACAAGGTTTAAGTAAATTACAATGCTTAAAAGATTACAAGGGATTAAAAAAAAAAACTAACAAAACACCAACCAAACTGTCTATCATAAATTCATAACTATCAAATACCTTCAACATTAAAGTAGCAACAACTAGTCAAAACAACTTAAATAATGTAAAGTCGTAAAATAACCCACAATGTCAAATTGTCAAAATACTAAGGTCATAAAAAAAATAATAAATACATAAACTAATATCAATCCCTAAACTCTAAACTCTAGAAAACAAAAGAAATCCAAACGACATGTCCAACAACTATAGTCATTTCTCGCCACCACAGT